ATCCTGGGAAATGGAGTCTGTTGACCACCTACACACACAATATGTCTGCTGAAAATCAGAGAATATTACATTATTGAAACTAAGCATATTTCTTTAAGTATTATACTTGAACTCAAAGCTATTTACATTTTAGGTGCATAGGTTTTTCATATTTATATCCTGTTCATAGCCTGTACATAGCTTGTACTCACTACAGCCTGTACATACTTATAGTTATAGAATATTCACAGACATACTTCATACCTGTGTACATTATAACATACCATAATAGACCCATTTCTGTAATATACTCACATATCTATATTATTGCTAATATATATTGCTTAAAGGAGCTTCTTCGATATCTTTAAGAGTTCTAAACAAATGTCTGTCCTCCAGAAAATCCTATGTATGCAAACACGCGTTGCAACTTCATATCTTGTGCGCGTTTTTGTTTTTTGTTTTTTTTTTGACAGCGAATGCGCACCTGCGGACCACTTATGTGCAGCCCTGGTTATTTAGCTCGTCATATTGCAGCCACAGAAATTCTTTTGTCCATGAAACCATAAAGCTGCACTTTCTTTTTGCCTTATAGTCTGATTTGTCATAACTTCTCCGTTTTGTGGTAAGCTTTTCTTTGGCTGTCACTTCTTCACCCTGACCTGTCTTATTTGGCTCAGCAGAACTAAAATATATATCCTGCTGCTTTTACACACACACACCATCATCCCACTTCTGACACCAATGTGGCGAGCTCAGACAAAGAGGAGACGGAGGTGTCGTTTGGTCTTGCTTCCCGTGAGCTAGCCAGGGAGCACAGCCGTTTATTGACATCTGCAGAAGAACACTGCCGCTAGCTAACTGCTCAGCGTGGCAACAGCACAGCAACAACAACAACAACACACAGGGCGCCCTCTGACCCCGGAAGGACACACCGTCGCAGCGAGAGGGCGTCACCCGTCACTATGGCAACATAAACAAAACATAACTGTACAAACAGAACCCCGAACAGCCCTGACCCGCTACATAGCCCCCACCTAAGGGGTCAGTCGTCCCCGACGACCCCATTACCCCACACAAAGTCCTGCAAATGTCCAGGTGCCTTCTTTTGGCGCACCGGCCGGTCACGACCGGCGGGGGAAAAGTCACTCGGGTCAGAACATGGGGTGCCACCATCATCCCACTTCTGACACCAATGTGGCGAGCTCAGACAACGAGGAGACGGAGGTGTCGTTTGGTCTTGCTTCCCGTGAGCTAGCCAGGGAGCACAGCCGTTTATTGACATCTGCAGAAGAACACTGCCGCTAGCTAACTGCTCAGCGCGGCAACCGCACAGCAACAACAACAACACACAGGGCGCCCTCTGACCCCGGAAGGACACACCGTCGCAGCGAGAGGGCGTCACCCGTCACTATGGCAACATAAACAAAACATAGCTGTATAAACAGAACCCCGAACAGCCCTGACCCGCTACAATATATGTATCCTGCTGCTTTTACACACGCACTCACATAACGGTCAGCGATTCTCTGCGCGATCAACCTCTCACATGTTTAAGCTGCAGGAGATTTCACTTGTCATGTTTGCATAGTAAGCTAACGATTGATAAGACGATGTCAGAGGAATTGGTGCGCAAATTATCATCACTCACCAATACACAGTTCGCATGATTGCAAACAAGCACAAATTCAAACGCGATTTGAATATGTCACATATTGACAGTGGCTCACAGATGGCAATGACATAATTACCCAGCTACATTTCCGAAAGAATGTAGAAAATAAAGTTCGGTGAAGCAGTTTCCTACGCCTCCTTCGATCTTTTTGCTAGCGGAGTTGACCTGTATAGTAAGCTGTTGCCGGCTACGAGTCAGTTACGGAACCTTCAAGTAACTGCCAGAGGTTTCCTTACTACGGTTCGGGGCCGCGGATCTGGCGCGGTAACACCTGTATCTGATTGAGGAATCACTCATCTTTGGAAAAGAGAGTTTATTACAGAGAAATGGCTCTTTCCAAAATAAAAGCTATACTATACGCTTCTTCTGGGCTATATTCTCAGCAGCATATTGTAGCGGGTCAGGGCTGTTCGGGGTTCTGTTTGTACAGTTATGTTTTGTTTATGTTGCCATAGTGACGGGTGACGCCCTCTCGCTGCGACGGTGTGTCCTTCCGGGGTCAGAGGGCGCCTTGTGTGTTGTTGTTGTTGCTGCTGTGCGGTTGCGGGAAGCAAGACCAAACGACACATCCTTCTCCTCGTTGTCTGAGCTCGCCACATTGGTGTCAGAAGTGGGATGATGGTGGCACCCCATGTTCTGACCCGAGTGACTTTTCCCCCGCCGGTCGTGACCGGCCGGTGCGCCAAAAGAAGGCACCTGGACATTTGCAGGACTTTGTGTGGGGTAATGGGGTCGTCGGGGACGACTGACCCCTTAGGTGGGGGCTATGTAGCGGGTCAGGGCTGTTCGGGGTTCTGTTTGTACAGTTATGTTTTGTTTATGTTGCCATAGTGACGGGTGACGCCTTCTCGCTGCGACGGTGTGTCCTTCCGGGGTCAGAGGGCGCTCTGTGTGTTGTTGTTGCTGTGCGGTTGCCGCGCTGAGCAGTTAGCTAGCGGCAGTGTTCTTCTGCAGATGTCAATAAACGGCTGTGCTCCCTGGCTAGCTCACGGGAAGCAAGACCAAACGACACCTCCGTCTCCTCCTTGTCTGAGCTCGCCACAATATTAAACATATCAGGTCCCCATAAGGAGAATCATGTGCTAACGGCTGTCTAAATGACTCGGGTAAAGTTTGTAGCATGCATGCTTGTTGTTTTTGTCTGCTTCCACTTGTCTTTGCACTAGGATGATGTCGGCGTAAATGTGCAGTCATATTCGTTGTGTTCCCACTAGTGCTGTCAGCGTTAATCTCGTTGAAATGACGTTAACGCCACAACACGGCAAATCTCCGTTAACGAGCTACCCCTGCGTGGGGCTAGACGGCCAACACGTTAACGAGCTAACTGCGCTAACACACTAGTTCCCACCCATGTAATTGAGCATTGCGTGGCACATCCAACATACTGTTTTACTTTAGTCCATGACGCGCTTACCTTCAGGGTCATATGTCACATGAAAACCAAAATAATTCCAAACGCCAGATCTGAATGAGGGTGGGGGAGGTTCAATTTGCCATGTTGCAAGGAGAGCTTAACTTCTGTCTCGCTAGCTTGCCCTGCGCTCTTCCTTCTGACTATGCTGTCTGTGTTGAGCGCTCAGTGGATCTGCGCTGGACAGTGCAGCCTAGGCGGAGTAGTCGAACACAGATTCACTGAGCGCTCAACACAGACAGCATCGTCAGAAGGAAAATTGATAAAATAAATTACAAATTTTGTATTGTTCGATACATATGCGTACCGAACCGAAAGCACTGTATCGAACGGTTCAATATCGATACGAGTATCGTTGCACCCCTAGTTAAAATGTAATGTGCTGTTCTATGGAGGTAGAAATACATTTTCAAGATAAAAGGCTAAATACATTGTTTGAAGATAACTTAAGCGTTTCACTCATGACTGAAAAATTACAACTCTAGCAAAATGCCTTAACAACATTAAATGTTAGAAATCATTCTACAAAACACGGTTAATATTAGTTACGTCTTTAATAGCAGATTATAGAGTAAAACTAATCTAAATATGTGACATATCAATACTCAAATGCATGCCCTGAGTTTCTGATGGCTTATTAATCTTTGCATTTATCAGCAAACTGACATGATGACAGTGTGTGTTTTAATACCATTTTAACATATTTCATGTGAAATAAATGAGTCATATGGAGACAAAACCAAAACACTTTTTTTTAACAACAAATTGAAATTCCTGGAAACTGAGAATAAAATAAAAAATCTTATTGAATCTGTATCTGACCTCACAGGATGTGAGGATTTGTGACATCCAGTACAAATAGTAACTTTAGTAACTTGATACTGCTAGAAAACACATTCATGCCGGTTAGACGACAGATCTGGGACGCATAAGCCAAACCACAATCGGGCCAGATGTGGCATGCCATCACATAAACAGTGCCATCATTGCCAGACCTGGCCCACATCTGGTTGACATACCCCTTACCATGCCAGTCAGCCAGCAGTGTCTGGCTTCACACTAGAGCCGGGCCAGACCTGTCTGTTACGTGGGATTGTCTATAAAAACAGAATACTGTCACCTTGGACTGAAAATATGCAGTTTGCATTTTCACTTGTTCTTCTGGCAGTTGCAAACTTAAAAGGGATTCTTGCAAATCTGGTAAAAAACTAAACAAAACCATAAGCCCACCCCAGTGCATGCTGGTCCTATACCAGTCCCTTTACTTAAAGTTAATGACCTTGCAGTTCTTCCTGGCTGACTTCCAAAGATAAATAACAAAACAAAGAATTAAGCAATTATTAACCTACAAATAAAACGTGTAAATATCCCAAAATAGGTCAACCAAGAAAAAATTGTGACAGTATGCAGTTGGAGTGATTTTAGAGAGTATCGTCTTGTTGATGGTTATCATTCTATTATTCGTAGGACTGGCTTCCCACCCTGAGGTATCACCGAGTTGACTTTAAAATGTGGAGTTTCTGTGGGGGTTTTTTGTGTGTGTGTGTGTGTGTTTGTTTAGTTTAATCCAAAATGTGTTTTAGAAGACACAGTATTGTTTGTAATAATATTTTTAATATTACTTTGTTTTTGTTGTGCAGCTAGTTGAAGAGCTGAAGAAGGAATACCTGAGGCTTTTGCCGCTGACGGAAAGCAGCAAAGAGTTGCTCGACGATTTACAGACAGATGTAAGAAACCTTGTAGTTTGAGGTTGCGAGTCAGGATGTCCATGTTTTTGCAATCACACTGAAACATACCTCTGTTAATACCTGTAGCCAATTTGAGGTAATTAGGAAGTGGTTGTTTTGCAGTTGTCTCTAAGTATTCTTATGTTCTCCTTTGACTTCCATCTCAGTTGGAGTGTTGTGGACTTCAGGGCTACCAGGACTGGAAGGCCAACATCCCAAAATCCTACCTTTGTGCCAAAGAGTCCACTAATCTGTGTGTAAGTGTGAAAGCTAACATGCCTACACTGTGTTCTTCTGTAATAGAACCTGTTGATATAAGGCTGTCATTATTAGTAGTGTTCATTCATTATGGAGGGCCAATTGATTTAAAAACACTTGAATGTTGAAATGTTGCTTCGAAGATGGGGACGAGTTCAGTGACCTCCTGTATCAGCTGCCAACTTCAAAACAATTTTAATGAGTCGAAACAAGGCAGAGTCGGCCTGGCATCACTTTGTGATTGAATGACATCAAGTTGGCAATTACATGCAATCTGTTTTTGATAATACGGCAGTTAACTGGGATAAATTTGCAAACTTGCTCTCCACATACACCAAAATTATTCAGATTTTTTTAAAATTACAAATAAATTTTTAAACATTACTCTGTTATCCCTGCTTGTGATTCTATTTTTTTTTCTTAAAATGATTATGTTTTCTAGGTGGAAACTCTTGGAGGCAGCTGGGAGGAAAATCAGACTGTTATGATTTATGAACAGGTATTAAAGACATTCTCATCAGTTTTTCCAGGAACCTTTGTAAACTCTATAAGCTGTTATGGTGTCATCTGATGCAACTGAGATGCAAATTGTTTGTTTCATCTTTAGAAAATATGTATCCTATTAAGCCTTTCCTGTTTCAGGGATGCCTTACGTACCTTGTTGAAATCCTCATGCATGGATTTAAGATTTTTTTTGGGCACGTTACTGGGATTTTTATTATTGTGGGTAAGTACAGTCGCAATCTACTAATTTAGCATAAAAGACCAGAAAAATGGAGTTTAAAGAAACCAGAGGCGAACAAGTGTCTGTTTTCTTTGGCTTTTCTGCCCTCCTCAGTCTCTTTCTAAAATTGCAAGAGGACTCAAAGCAAGTCAAGAAACAACAGAAGATGAACAGGAAGTAAAATAATCAATCTTTGTTTCACTTTCCTGTAGATGTAGTCCCTCGTGTTGTGTAGAGCCATCTTGTGCCAGCTGAATCGAAACAGAGAAACCTCGGTAGTGAACTAAGGTGCAGAGGCAAAAGCAGGCAACTGCACCACCCTCACAGAGCCTCCAGACCACTTCCGATGTCTTTGCTAGTTCTGATGCTTCCAGCAGTGATGGCCATTATTTAAGCATGCTAAATAATAAATATATTTATGATAATTGGTTATATTGAATATATCATATCCTACAACTGCATTATGGACTGCTTTATTATGACTTTCTGAATTTCAACTCAGTTGATTGAGATTATTGATCTGGGATATCAACACTGAGTGAAAATGCACTGTTTAAAGCTAATATAACTAAACATATATCGAAAACAAACTGAATATCATGTGTGAATTGTTTTAATACTTGATGATTCGGTATAAGATTCTTAATTTTTTGGTACTCCTCGTGTAAAATTTGGTTTGTCGATGTTTTGTTGGGTTTTTTTTGTTTTTTGTTTTTGTTTTTTACTTTTTTTATTTTTTTTTTATTTCGAGTTTTACATTTCTACTTTGTGTTCATTTTTTAATACGATGTGTTTGTTATATACTGGTGTTTAGTATGAGGTGCCTTTTTTTTCACTGTGCTGTATCATTTAGCCAGCTGCCAAAATTTATTACATTTAAAATGCATACAACTATCATTTACATTCCTCAGCATCTGCTGCTGGGTTAACCGAGCTGTTAGCGTCATTAAGAGGACGGGCAGTTTCAGTTTCATAAGAAAACAAAATAAAATGAAGACGTAAAAAAAAAAAAGACAAAACTTGTTTTATTCATTCTATTTACAAAATATTACATCATGTCATGCAAATAAAAAAACAAAAACAGTGTGTGACAGAAACAAAAGACACTCGATCCCAAATGATCGTTGCTTCGAGATCTAACAGTGTAATAATTAGGTTTCTCATCAAAAAATGGTTTAGTGGCATCAGCAAGACCAGACAAAAAAAGTGTGTGACAGAAACAAAGACACCATACGTTGCCAGAACGTGTATATTAGGCAATAATGGTTAAAGTGCACAGGTAGACACTGGATCTGCTGCTTCAGATTAAATTAATTTGACAATATATGAGTCGAGTAGACGTTTCAACAGCAGGCAGCTCATGCAGCAAGTTAAAGTAGACGCGGCGTGGCATAAAGGCTTCTTTGGTGAGAGTTGCATCAGTTGGGGCGTTACAGTCTCTGCAAGAAATTGGGTGGCACATTTTCCTACAAGAGCCTCTCACAACCTCTTTGCAGCAGCCTTGCCAACATCTGTGCAAAACCTTCAAATCAAAGAGGATTTTACTGCGTGTCTACTGTATGTGCAACAAAATAGAATCCCCTCTCCTCCTCCTCACCCGCTCCTCTCTCCTGGGCATGATCACACAAGGTCGAATTTTTAGATGTTTTGCAAGGTTTCAGATATTGTGTGCATAGTATTTTTTATGAATGTGGCTTAAGTTATAAAAAACTTGAAATCAGCTTCGACAAGGTTTCAGATTATTCAGTGTTGACCACATAACTTTGAATTGTATCCTAACACATAAAACCTTAGACGTGATAGAGGGTGTACTTTCGTTTTGCCATTTTTTTAGGTGAAATACAGCATTTTTGTTTTACATTATATATAATGTAAAATAGGCATACAAATATATACATTTGTATGCCTGTATGGATTCAGCAAACCTGGCACATTGTAGTTAGACATGCACAGATTAACATTTGGCGGCTCGAATAAATTAGCCTGTCTTACTGAGTTTTGTTCAGAGGATACGAGCGCTTCCTTGATGCTAGCTGTGGCCATGTGGCAAGAGCCA